AGAATAGAGGACCCAGAAATAATCCCAAGAGTTAACAGATGGGCTTGCATGATAGTTAAACTTCTATACAGCCAAGGATCAGTCATCAGAGAGGGGATAGAGAGCCCATAAAGGGAGCAGACCTTTGACATACAACAGAAGACTAATGTCTGAAGCCTATGAAGAACTCCAGAAATTAACACCACCACTCCCAAATCCAATCAATAAATGGACTAATAAATTCACTACAATGCTCTTGAAGGAAGAAATGGGAGTGGCCAATAAGTATTTGAAAAGCGTTCAACATCCTAAGCCACTGGAAAGATGAAAATTAGAAGTGCTTTAAAATTCCATCTCACCTTAGGAAGAGTGGTGGTTAGCATCAAGGAAGGGAAGGCCGGCAGACTAACCCATATCCATTGCTGGGGGCAGTGTCAACTGGTTCAGCTGCTCTGAAAATTAGCATAGGGTTTCTCAAAAACTGGAGGTAGAACTTCCCTGTGCTTTGCCCATGCCATTCCCAGCCATGAACTAATAAGTGTAAGATCTTTACCAACTGCACATGTGTAAGATCTTTACCAGTCACACATCTGATTGGGCATCACTGTCTCCTCAGAGAAGCTTCCTCTTGCAGTAGAGGGGAACTAACACAGAGACCCACAACTGGGCAATGTGTGAAGGGTGAGAGACTTTGCAGCCCTCTGTCCTATCTGGAATGACTTCTTCAAACTCTTCCCCTCGGTGCTCAGAGAAGTATGCAGGAGAGGAAGCTAAGGGATTTTAAGAGGCAGAGAGGATGGTTGACTCAAAGGAAACAGTGTCTTCCAGATACATCAGGACTTACACACCCTTGCATTCACAAAGTCTGGCAGCAAGCATTGGACTGGCACGAATTCAAGCCCAACATGGACCTGGCACTAGGAGGTTGGGTAGGGTGGTGGATATGGAGTCCTATTCCTAATCAAGATGCTATTTGCAATTGATACCTGCTGGCAAATGAAAAATCAGTTTTCTCCAATGGAGTGTCTCTAGGTATATCACCATACTCCAAGTCAGGTCCTAAACCAAGGAATAGTTGTCCAACATAAACTCCATGGTATATGTGTGTGTGTGTGTGTGTGTGTGTGTGTGTGTGTGTGTGTGTGTGTTTATTTTATTTTGGCTTATTTTGTGTCTTGTTGGGATTGTTTGGTTTTGAGTTTTTGTGGGGCACATTTGTTGTTTGTTGTTTGTTTCTTTGTTTGTTTGTTTTAGAGAGACAGACAGACAGCAAAGTTGGGTAAGTAAAGAGGTGAGTAAGATCTGGGAAGAGTTGAGAGAGCAGGGAAACATGATCAAAATAGGTCATATGAGAAAAGAGAAACAAAGCCAGGCAGTGGTGGTGCATGCCTTTAATCCCAGCACTCAGGAGGCAGATATGCATCTCTATGAGTCGAGGCCAGCCTGGTCTACTGCGTGATTTCCAGAACAGCCAGGGTTATACAATGAAATCCTGTCATGAAAGACTGGGGGAGGTAGGGAGAAAGGAAGAGAAAGAGAAAAGAAGAGAAAGGGAGGGAGGGAGAGAAGGAGAAAAGAAGAGAGAGGGAAGGAGGGAGGGAGGGAGGGAGGGAGGGAAGGATCCGTGTCTAAGCACACCAGAGATACTTGCACATCCATGCTTACTGCTCCACTATTTGCAGTAACCAGGATATGAAGCCAGACTGAATGTCCATCAAGAGATAAACAGATTTAGAAAATATGGTGCATGCATGCAACGGAATTTTATTTGGCTATAATAAAAGATGAAATGATGTAGTGGATGGAACTGGAGGACAACATGTGAGTAACCCAGACTCAAGAGGGCAAATACTGCACGCTGTCAGCCATACATGACACAAAAGTAAAAGTGGGACTTTGGAGGAGGTTTAAAGGTAAGGAAGGGAGATCAAGAGCAGCTGATGGAATGTATTTAAATTAAAGAGAAGGACTAGAGCCTGATATAGCTGTCTCCTGAGAAGTTCTGCCAGAGCCTGACCAATACAGATGTGGATGCTTGCAGCCAACTATCAGACTGAGCACGGGTCCCCAATGGAGGAGTTAGGGAAAGGACTGAAGGAGCTGAAGGGGCCTTATCTGGCATCAATGGGAGGGGAGGCCCTTGATCCTGTGAAGGCTTGATGCCCCAGTGTAGAGGAATGCTAGGGCAGTGAGGCAGGAGTGGATGGGTAGGTGGGGGAGCACCCTCATAGAAGCAGGGAGAAGGGGAATGGGATAGGGGGTTTGCAGAGGGGAAACCAGGAAGGGGGATGACATTTGAAATGTAAATAAATAAAATAACCAATAAAAAATAAAAATAGAAGGATTAATTTGAGGAAGGAAGAAGATCAGAAGGAGGAGAAGTGACAGTAGGGGTAGGCAATGACAGATAAACAAGAATGAAGTAAAACTATATATATGTATGAAAAATGTCACAGTGAAACCTGTCACCTTAAATTAATTTAAATAACTTATTATTTTAATTAATTAATTAATTTAACTTAACTTATTTTAAATTAATTAAATTAAAATTAATTTAAACACGAATAAAGAAGCAAGTAGGGCTTGGGTATCCATAAGCAATTGTTAGAAAAGACTGGGCAGGTACACCCAGAGTGATTAGACTCCGAATAACTAGAGAAAAGAGGGTGGTTTTGTTTGATTTGTTAACTTTTGCTTCTTGAGGTCTCCCTGCAGGCTTAAGAAGTTGAAGTAAGACCCTTGCATACTTAATCCAGTATTGGCATTTGCTTCCAGAAGTTTCTAGACTAATACAGGTTTTTTTGAAAAAAAGGTTCACTTATAAACCCAGCTCCAAGTACCTAATAGATTTTCAGTTAGTGGATTAACACTGATGCAGGAGCCAGTCAATGAACACACAAGTTTCATTGGTTTTTAAAGCAGAAAAGAAAAGGGCAGAGAAATCACAAACCGAAAACTTACAGCTCTGGTCAGACCAACTGTCTCCTGGGATACACATCTGAATCCTTTCTCTCTCTTTTTTTTTTAAGGTTTAGTTTTAATTTTAGTTGTGTACATTGCATGTGTGTATATATGTGTTGTGCACATGAGTGCAGATGCCCACATAGGCCAGATTAGAGCAATGGATTCCCAGTGTCATTACAAGTGGTCATGTTGCATCCACAGTTGGGAAGCAGAGAGAAATAAGTGCTGGAACTCACTTTGATTTCCCCTTTTTTATTCAGTTCAGGACTCCAGCCCATGGAATGGTGTCCCCCACATTTTGGGAGAGTCTTCCCACCTCTATTGACCTAATCAAGATAATTCCTCACAGATATCCCATTGTGTGTCTTACAGATGACTCATCAAGCTGACAGTTGGAATACACCATCACAGAATCTTTATCTTCTTTCAAAAAGCCAGTCTGATACTGCACAGAAAGGAGTTTTGATTCAGTGGGTCCATGTTTGAGTCCGTGCTTGGCATGTGAATGCTGAGAACTTATCATGACACCGAAAAGTGATTTGTTCAGTAAAACCATAGAAGCTTAGATGACGAGAAACCAATGAACCACATGGCAACAGAAAACATAAAACAGCAGGAGGTGCTCACACTAGAACCTTATCAGCAGAATAAGAAGTGATTAACGGAGAAAATAAACAGTTTTAGTGCTCTCACATGGAATGGCTGCAGACTTTCCCTGAACTGTTGCATACAGAAATAACTCACTTATCACCAGTCAGCTATGTCAAACACACAAACAAGGCCTGGGCACGTTTAGTACATCATGTTTTAAAGATTTATTTTATTTCTTAATTAATGTTTATGCGAGTGTGTGTGGTTATGTGCATATGAGTTTAGGTGCATGCAGAGCCCAGAAGAGAGCACTGAATCCCCTGGAACTAGAGTTTACTGTCAGTTAAAAGTCATCCAATGTAGCCCCTCGGAGCTAAACTCAGGCCTTCTGCAAGAACAGCATGTGTCCTTAACTACTGAGCCGTCTCTCCAGGCCCTAGGATTTCATTTTAATGATGCTTAGACCATATGTCTAATCATCACATAGCCTCTATGATTTCAGAGAGAAAAACCCAGTGTTTCCTTTGGGCCACTCTGTTAACCAAAGCCACTCTTCTTGCTGTGACCAGAAAGATCGTGGGTAGACAAGCAACATGGGCTATACATATATCCAAACCACTTTTTAGCTCTATGATATATAATGGCTAGATGGTAGCCCTCTAGAAATTCACATGCTTGCATCCTAGAACCTCAGAATGCAACCACATACTTGAAAGAAGTAATGAGTGAAAGTGAGATCATTTGGGATGAATCCTAATCCAACAAGAGAAGACTTGGACATCGGTATAGACAAAGGGATGATTGGCATGTGGCGGCACAAGGAGATGCCAAGCAGAGAGATCTCAAAGAACCCAAACTTGCTGTAAAAGTTAATATTGATTTTCAGCCTAAGAGGATCCAGAATCCCCTAGGAGTTGAATGGCTGGAAATATCTGTGAGAGAATTGCTAGACTGGGTTAACTGATATAGAAAGATCAACCCTACATGTGAGGGACTCTGTTCCATAGATGTGGTCCTGGACTGAATAAAAATTAGAAACCAGGCTAAACACTAGTATTTCTCTCTGCTTCCTGGCTGTGGATACAATGTGACCAGCCACCACTCACTGCCACCTCTATGACTTCCTGCTATGATGAACTGTATCCTAGAACTGTGAGCTAAAATAACCTCTTCCTTTCTTAAGTTGTTTTTGTCAGGAATTTTTGTCACAGTAACTAGGAACGTAACTAAGGCATCCATGAACACCCTGATGCTGTACTTCTAGGCTCCTCAGGCAATGGACAACAGAATGTTATTATCTAAGCCTTCTAGCCTGTGATATTTGGTAATTTCTAGCCTGACAAGCAAAAACATCCATATCTCCTTTCATCAACTTTGCAACCTCTCTAGAGTTAAGCTCCAGGACTGTTAGGAGTTTCATTATATTCCTGCATATAACGTAATACCTAGCTGTGAATTAACATTCAATAATATTTGCAGCACATATGCTAAAATTGAAACAATATATAAAAGATTTGTATGGCCCCTGTGCAAGGATGACACAAAAATTTGTGAAGTGTTCCACATTTCTATAGCATCTGTTGTTGGAGATTTGCCAAGGACCAGCCTCAGCTTGAAGAGCAGAGAAATAAACAACTCTAGATCAAATTTTGGGTCCAAGATGATGGCCTATGTTCTATTCTAGACGGTATTCTAGACAGCTCTCTGCTCTAGAGCTCTCTGGATAACTCACCTCTTGCAGATCAAAAGCCAGTCTTTTATTTAAATATCAATTCAGTCATTACCTGTGAGGATTTGAATATGCTTGGCCCAGGGAGTGGCACTATTAGGAGATATGGCCTTGTTGGATTAGGTTTGACCTTTTTGAAAGAAGTGTGTCATTATGAGCATGGGCTTTGAGACCCTGATCCTAGCTCCCTGGAAGCCAGTCTTCTGTTTTCCTTCAAAACAAGATGTCGAACTCTCAGCTCATCCTACACCATGCTCCCACCTTGCTGATTATGGTCTGAACCTCTGAACCTGTATGTCAGCCCCAGTTAAATATTGTCTTTATAGGAGTTGTCTTGGTCATAGTGTCTGTTAATAGCAGTAAAACCCTAAGACATTACCCCAGGTTCCCTTTTGAGTATCACATGAATTAGCACCCATGACCCCAGTCCCTTGATTCTTAGGAGCCAGCAAGCACACATTGTTTTTAACATTGCAAAAGATTTCAGAGATCTGCCTGCCTTTGTTAAGCACAGACAATAAGCTAGCTGTGTGGGATCTTGCTTTGCAATCACTACTCCCTAAATCTCTTTATCTCCTTCTTTAGTATCTTTCTGACAAGTTGGTTCATAGTGCAGCTGTCTCTGTTCCTTTAAATCTTTGAAGCTACATATACAATTCATATTGCATCCTTATGTTTTACATAGTTGAGAAATTATATATTTTTGAAATTATATTTTTAGAGTTTTTTCCCACAGCCTTAAAGGCTATCCTGAAGGTCCAAGCATTTACCATTTTGCTAAGACATTAGCCACGCCTTTGCCTCCCAGACTCTTGCTGTCTTTGATTATCATGGAGTCATTAACATTAATGGGGAGGACATTCCTAAAAGGAAGAACATGAAAATATATACAATATTATACAAACAAGCCTTATGTCCACAGCAACCCTTGCCACATGGAGGCCCATGCCCTTCTGGCTTTGTTCCAGTGGTAGGAACCATGTCATGCTGTCCCCACCATGGCCAGGCCAGACTTGGCAGGGATTTATATATACATGCATACATACATACATACATGCATGCATGTGTGTGTGCATAAGTATGTATATAGGTATGTGTATATGATGTATGTGTATAGATAAATATATGTGTATTTACTTCTATAAAGTAAATATTTATTTTTAATACAAAATGAAATGAATGGTAAGAAATTCAAAGCTTTCTTACAATGATGAAGAATAAGACAAGATGTCTCTTCTTGCTCCTGTGTTTCAACAACATCCTAGGAGACATAGCTATAGCAATAAGAGACAAAATCACAACTAAACTGTACAAAGGGGAAGAAAGGAAGAAAATGTCTTTGTTTTCAGATAACATAATTCCCTATGCAGAAAGTGTAAATGAATTACCAAACTGCCTCCTGGAATTAATAAGTGTTTGGGGCATGATTACAGGTTATAAGGTTAATACACATTAAACAAAGTGAGGGGAGAAGGAAAGGGAGTAAGAGAATACAGAGAAGGATGGCTAACGCAAAAGACTGACACACATATGAACTCACCAAGACCAAAGCAGCATGCACATGACCTTACACGAGTGCAAGCCAGACAGGGCACCAGCGCTGAGTTTATTATATATCAGCAAAGGAAGAGTTGGATTCAAAATTAAAAGCACAGGCTGACAAGATGGCTCTGTGGTTAAAATCACTGGCTGCTCTTCCAGGGATGCAGTCCCCAGCATCTACATGAGATGCGTACAATCATCTCTAACTCCAGCTCCAGTGGATCCAATGCCCTCTTCAGACCTCCATAGCCACCAGGCATACATGTGGTACACAGAAATACATGGAAACAAAATAACCATATGCATAACATAATAATGACTTCAATTTTAATACAAAAAATTCATATTATCACTAAAAGCTATATAATATTTAAGTATTAAGTATAAGAAAATATGGAGCAGTGAAATGGGGCAGTGGGTAAAGGGAATCAAGCCTGAGTTTGCTTCTCAGACCCACATAGTGGAAAAAGAGAACCAACTCCTACAAGTTGTCCTGTGGTCTCCACACACATGCATGCACACATACTAAATAAATAAATGTAATTTAATTTAAAAAATGTGTGTAATCTAAACATGGAGAATTGCAAAACTGTGATGAAAGCTATCAAAAGAGTAGTATGTGAATGGAAAGGCAGTGTGTAAGGAGAAGGACATCTCAAGAATGATGAGATACTAGTTCTTCTCAAATTGATCCAGTCGATCTCAATCAAAATCTCAGTGATTGATCAGTAAAAACAAACTGGATTAAAGCTTTATTTGGAGATGCAAAGGAGGTGGGATAGGCAACATATTATTGAAAAAGAACAAAGTTGGGAAACTGATATTATTCAACTGTAAAGCCATAGTAATCAAGACAGTGCAGCATTGATCAAAAAACAATAATAAGATAAATTGATGAGCCACACAGTAGAAATCCCACAAGTGAGCCACATACAGTCAACATCCTCAACAAACTCTCAAACGCGACACAGTGCGGGGTGGGGGAAAGACCTTTACAACAAATGGTTCTGGAAAACTGGATATACATGTATAAAAATAAATAAATAAAGTTTATACTCTTCCTAAAAACGTAAGATGGAGAAAAGGTCAAGATGCTTTACAATCATCAGGAGATAACAGGAGAGAAATCTAATTGACATTGAGTCTGAAGATTTCTTAGACACAACCCCAAAGGCACTATCTACGAAAGAACGCCTCAGCAAAAGCTATGAAAGGATGATTGTTGTTTTAATTTTCTCTGTGAATTACACAAGATAGTATTTCACAACAAGAGAGTAAAGGGGGAAGGCCGTGGTGCCAGCAAGGTGTCTCACTGTGTAGAGGTACTTGCCGCTAAGCCTGAGTTTGATCCCTAGAACGTCCATGCTGAAAGGAAAGAACCAAGTCCTACAAATTGTCCTCAGGCTTCCACATGTGCCTGAATGTGCACACACAAACACATACACAAACACATGTGCACACACACACATAAATACACATACATACACATACACACACAAACACACACACAGACACATACATACACACACATACACACATGTACACATACACAAACACACACACATGCACACACACAAATACACATACATACACACATGTACATACATATACACATACACACACAGACACACACAGACACACACACAGACACATGCACACACACATAAATACACATACATACACATACATACATACACACACATGCACACACATACACAAACATACACACAAACACATACACACATGTACACATACATACACACACATACACACATGTACACATACACAAACACACACACATGCACACACACATAAATACACATACATACACACATGTACATACATATACACAGACACACACACAGACACATGCACACACACATAAATACACATACATACACACATATGCACACACATACACAAACATACACACAAACACATACACACATGTACACATACATACACACACATACACACACATATGCTCACACACATACACACAAACACACACATGCACACACACATACACACACAGCAAAGAGACCTCAAGCTTGATGATACAGATGGTGGAAAGCCAGGGCTTAAATGAAGGAGAAAACAGGAATCTGGTGGCTGCAAAACACCAAAGAACTAGATTGGAGTTAGGAGACCGGAAGCCTTGGGCAAGTCCTCTCCTCTACAGCTTTGCTTCCCTCATCTGAAGTTTCAAGATGCCCAATGAAATATGGTCAAGAGAGGCCTTCGTCAGGTCTCTTCTCATCTCTGTCTGTGAATCAATGATAGCCTTAGATCCTCAGTTCTCAACCTGTGGGTCGAAACCCCTTTCAGAGGAGTCACCCAATACCATTTAGATTAGAAAACAGATATTTAAATTATAATTCATAATAGTAGCAAAATTACAGTTATGAAGTAGCAACAAAAAAATTTTACGATCAGGGGTTTAAGTTACCACAACATGAGGAACTGTATTAAAGGGTCATAGCACTAGGAAGGTTGAGAACCACTAGTCTAGACAGTCCACCTTGTTTGTAAGGATGAACCTAAGCAGGTTCCTTCAGGACATAGGTGGATGAAGGAAGCTACTATGAAGTACACAGGGGAATGGACATAATGGCAGACAGACCAGATATGGATAGCTCTGGGAGCTGGTCTTTCTCTCCCCTTCACTGCACTTCTGACTCTCCCTGAATTCCATGAAGTTCTTTCTCTCTGCCAACATATTCCTACTTCCCGCTTCCTCACTATTTCAGTTATAAAATGTTTTGGGTCACAGTTCTGTCTTGGTCTTTCAGAATGTAACAAGATCACTGATAAATCCATTCCATTTCTGTATCTGATCATGGTCATAGTCATATACCCCTGTGGACATTGTAGATTTGGGAATATCTTTAGAAAATCTTCACTACATCATATGGAATTCAAAAATAGGTATTGGACCTGTCTTTGGGCCCATTGTGTGGGCCTGAACTGTGAAACTGTGTGCTAGCACGGCCAAAATGGTCAAAGGGATTGACCAGCCATGCCCCTTAGGAAAAGGATGTGTGTCACTGTGACGCTTATCTTGCTAACTTAGTAAGATTCAGAATCACCATGGAAACACATAGAAAGCATCTTCAGGACAGTGTTTCCAGATAGGTTTCACTGAGGTAAAAGACACACACCCCGAAAGTAAGTGACATTCTTCCATGGTTCTGGGCTGAATCCACAGGAGCAAGTGAGCCACCAAGCCCAGCTAAATATTTCCTGAGTCTCTACCAGGTAATATGTAGACAATCCTAGTGATCAAGGCAGATCTATCT